GGTGGGACACGTAGAAACATGGGACACGATCGAGACAGATGGGACATCTAGAAACATGGGACACGATTGAGACAGATGGGACATGCAGGGACAGGTGGGATATGCAGAGACAGGTGGGACATCTAGAAACATGGGACACGATTGAGACAGATGGGACATGCAGGGACAGGTGGGACACACAGAAACATATGGGACACGATCGAGACAGATGGACAACGTAGGAACAGATGGGAGACATAGGGACAGGTGGGACACATAGAAACATGTGGGACATATAGGGTTAATGTAGAAACAGGTGGGACACGAGAGACAGATGGGACAGGTAGGGAAAGATGGGACACGATAGAGACAGATGGGACATGCAGGGATGGATGAGACATGCAATGGCAGATGGTACACATAGGGACAGGTGGGACACATAGAGACAAGTGGGACACGTAGGGACACAGACAAATGGGACTTATAGAGACAGGTAGGACACATAGAGACAGATGGGACATCTAGGGACAGGTGGGACAGATAGAGTATTGTCCCTAGGTGTGAGTGACATCATTAATATTTGTTTGTCTCTGTGTGTCCCTGATGGACTGGAGACCTGTCTAATCTTAATCAAATCTAAAATGTCAGATTTACAGATTTTCAGCTAAAGTCTTTGTGGTAGTAGCTGAGACTTGTCCTCAACATACTCCGAGTGACAACAAACTTTGATTTTGGTTTTAGACGAGCGTCTAAATGAAATGTTCAGATTTAGCGTTTTAAATGTTGAAGCAGAGCTGAACAGGATCAGTTTATCTGTGACAGAATTAACTGATTCAAGTCCTGTAGTTTGATGCTTCTGTTCATGGCTGTAAATCAGAGCGATGAAGGAAACCGGAGCTGAATCACCGTCCTCCTCCTCCCTCTGACAGATTGTGGGATATTTCAGAGTTTTATCTGGGCCGCCGTTTTTATCTGACCCTGGAAAGTTGTTGCGTCAGCAGTTCTTCTGTGGCCTGTTACATTTGACACAAAACTGTAAGAAGTCGTTGTTTACTTTATGACTGTAGCTCTGATTTCACTGCAGGAACTGAGCCGACCCTACTCCGTGGATCCAGGAGGACTTGAGTCCTCGTATGGGTCTTTGTCTCATTTGTTTTGTCTTGAAAGTAAAGTCAGGTGAGACGATTCGGTCCAAGACAGATCTCAGTGGTTGATTAACATCTGGTTTGTTTTGGTGATGATGTGTTTTAAAGGTCGTGCTGGACCCAGTTTCTCCTTCAGCTCAGCCTCGCTCGTCTCTGGGCAACTAATGTGGAAACTATTTAGTTATAGTGTGGGAGGGGGGCAGATTAATTCACCATAAATGGAGGTCTAATAGGGAGCAACCGTTCAAAGATGGATCTTCAGTCAGCTGCACGTTTTAGTTGTTCAGGCAATAATTCTTGTTTTATTTTACTGCAGAACCAGCCTCTAGATGTAGATGAGACTTTGTTTCACAGCTTGAATTAACAACAACACCAGCATTTCTTAAAGGGATGCATATCGCCCACCACCTCTCATGACCCTCTTAAGATGGGTCAGGATGGAGGTGGGTCAAACAGTAATAAAAACAAATCATGTAATCACGTCAGATTTGACCTCGACGTCTGAAACCAACAGGTATTTTGTGCTTTGTAAGGTCTGTCGGTCATAAGGTAGGGGCGTAGTGGCGCAGAGGTTAGAGAAGGTCATGTTATGTTGTTTATTTGTCATATGCAGGTTAACACATGAAATGTTCAAGATGAGAAGATCTGATTTCAACTCGCTACAGACAAAAACAAAAAACAAACAAAATACTAAAGCATGCAATACGGGTACAAAATAAAGTACCAAAAAGTGGAAAAAAAAACATTTACAAGGTCCAAGAGAAATATAGTAAACAACAACATGGTAGAATATAACGGTGCAAGTAGGATGAATTAGTATAAATAAGTATTTCACAGGTTGTAATACAGTATAAGCTTAAATGCACATGATTACTGTATATTGCACATAACTAACAAAAACTACACAGGTTGTGTGACAGGTTATTGCACAGGTAGTGAGAGTAACACTGAGAGTAATTGACTTATGATGTAAGGTAGTGACATACATGACATGCATACATACATGATACAGACACATAGTGCAGTAACAATAAACATATTAGGTGTCACAGATGTGGCTTAGTGCAATGTTATTGTCAATAATTCAGTAATCTGACAGCTTGTGGGTAATTGTCTTTGTGTATTGGGCCTGTGATCAGAAGGTTGCCGGTTCAACTCCCTTTACCAACATCAAAACGTGGGTGGAAAAGGTGAAACACCCACACTTGCCTCCACTGTCACTTGCCCCACTCTGGGCCCTTGAGCAATCCCTTAACCCCACCGTCTGCTCCCAAACAGGTCTCTTGAAAATGAGTCGTCGTGACTCTATAGCTATGTTTACATGCGCAAAATTCTTTGACCTGATAGAAACGTTTTCGGATTAAATAATTCAAATGTATCGTTTACACGGGCGCAATGCGTTCGCGATGAGCGTTTACGTGCAGCGGGCTTTGTTCTGAACAGAAGTACTGACCTGCGCTGAGTGGTAAACTCTCCTTTAAAAAAAAACACAGAAGAAGAAGTTCTACTTCCGGGATGAACGTAAACAAACCAGAGCGCCCAAAATGGACCCGCGACAGGTTTTAATGACGGTGGAGACGTTGCTGCGCTCCCTGACTGAGCTACAGGTCATACAGATCATTTTGAGCTCTTTCAAAGTTTCTAATAGAAATGTTGAGTCGCTCACCGACCAGTTTTACTTCCCCGACATGCTAATATTATTAGCATTAGCCAGGCGGAAATGACAGGTCGCACATGCGCAGTCAGGTCAGGTTTTCCACGATCGGGAAAAAAAATGAACAGATTAGGCGTTTACATGCGCACCGTTCGGGTCATGGATCGGCGTAAACCCCCCGTTTCGTTCTTGTCACAAATTATTTCGGATTGCGCTGAATAAACAAAAAATAATCCGAATGGGGCGTTTACATGACGCACTTTTATTCTGAACGGCCGTTTAACCTGATTACTTATGTCCATGTAAACATAGCTCATGAGACTCCCTGTATACATAAAGGTTAAATAAAGTAAAGGTTTGTCTGCTAACAGCCAAACACATGATTGCCTCTTTAGCAACATTAACCGACTCTGTTAAAGACCCAAAACATAAATCTGCTGCAGCCCAAAGCAGACGTTCAGTCCTTGTATCTCCATCAAAACGCCTCGGTGTCTCAGAATAAAACAAACTGGAGTAAAAAGATGTGAACTCCTGCCTGAGGGAAGTGATTCCTCAAACATCCTGTCGGGTCGTCCTCCCCTGCAGGGCAGCACACACTCCGGGTTTATGAGCTGAACTTCAAAGCGGTCTCACACACCTACACTTAAAATCTGAGGATCAGAACCGGTCCTGCTGATCTGAAGCTGCTTCCAGTCATCCAGGATTCGGTTTGGATGAAGGAAGTCGAGCTTCAGGCTTGTTTAGACCTTTCTGAGCAGCGAGATCAGAACCGTTTTCATAACGGCCAGTGAAAAGAGCTGACGCTGTCCTACAGAAAACCACAAGCTGTAACAGGCTGTGGAAGCAGAAAGTGCCTTTACCTTAAGGTGGTTAAAAAAGGTGAGCCCCCATAGGACGCTCCAGTTCCTGAACCTGAACTCATCTGGACCAGAAGAACTCCCGACACACATCATCTACAGAAAGCCCAGGAGAACAGGAAGTCATTTCAAGTTCCTGAGGTGTTTGTCTAAATTGTCTTTAAATTAAAAAACGATCAGGTTAAAAAACGTCCTCATCCAGCCCTCGTTGTCTGAACGCTGACTCAGCATTCACACCGGTTTCCTGCTGTTAATTTTACACACCGTCTGTGTAATCTAACGTCTCCTTAAGGTGATTTTGAAGGGATCTCGGACTACTTGCTCATGTTGGCTTTAATGTTATTTCTCTATTCTACTGAAAGTTGTTGTTTGTAGCGTGTGAAAATGCCTAATTGTTGTTGTGCACGATGTTTGGGTCAAAACGATCAAATCTAACCAAGTATATTTACTCTGGCACTGACGTCATATATATATTAGCGCTGGCGCTAACAGGCTAAAGCTAAGGTGCACACCCCCACAAAACTGCCATCCATCCTGCATCTGCAGGGCAGCACCAGACTGCTGTCACACGTGTGCACTGCACTCCGTGATTGTGTGCTGAGTTTTGTTGTGTGTGTTTCGGGAGGAACAAAGTTTGGCTTTACGTCGGCTCCAGAACTAATGAAGGACAAAGAAGTGTCCGTAAGTCTTTAGTATTACATGAGTAACTATTCTAATGTATCTGAGATTAACTTTTGATCTAGAACTGAGG